CATAACTATCCCATTGTCAGAGTTATTAAGTAGTACAAATTGTTCGTTGTCTATAGTTTTAATTCCTATACAGTTTAAAATAGAATGAACCTCATTGATATTATTTGGTAATTGAGGGTAACTGGTTCTACGTGCATAATGCATAATGGCAAATACGCCATGTATAGCTCCGGCCCAAAAGTACAAACCACTAAAAACAAGTTTTCATTTAACATTATTATGTTAATGATACATATTTAATTATTATTATTATTATTTTTTTTTAATTTAAAAATATCAAAATCAAAAATAAATTTGGAAACCACTTTAAAGCTCAAAAAAAAATGTTAAATTAAAAGGTAACACGAATTGCGTCCGGGACGCAATTCGTTCAAAAAGGTTCGTCTACCTGTTTTGGTACGCAATTCGTGTGCACCGATATCAATGCTCGATTGTTTTACTTAGGTAACGGAAGTGTATGACCCACAAAGTTATAATACCTGTGAAGGTGATGGTGACGGTTGGAAGATGGTTCCGGGGGTAGTAAACACATATTGAATATAAGAAGTATATTGTACACAAAAATAAAATAAATCCTGAAAACTCGTCCGTACAATATACGTAGGTTTAGGCTAATGCGGGTTCGTGCGCAAACATATTCATGATGTCGTCGCTCCTTTTAGAGCCCTCGCCAAACGCAAACACACCCCCGTCACCGTGCACGCAGCACATATACACAAACACCCCGTTAAATCCGTCGGAAAAAGGATGAAAAACGTGGAAAAAAATGAGCAAAAGAAAAAGAGAAAAAAACACGCACTCCGAGTTAAATATAAATGAAGACTTGACCGTTGCTTTTTATGTCGTTTTTTTTTTCGCTCCAAAAGTAGTTATGTATGCTTACCTGATTTTCCCATTTTATCGGTAGCGTGCTTATACATCTTTATAATATCACTATTGTTGCGTGGAATTTTCAATTTCAGTTCGTATAATATTAACATATACATACAGTTATAAATGAAACATTAAAGAAGGATCATATTATTCGAGTTCAGTCTTCGATGATTTCATTTTATTTCTCTTGGGTCAGTCGTTTTAAGAGACAACAAGTGTCTTTAGAACATCTACACCTAGTCATTATATTATAATATTATTATATTATACTAATAACAGTTTAAAATGTAGGCACATTGAAGTTTAAGGGAAACAATATACGACGATATGTTTTACGTTCGCAATTTAAATCCTATTCAAATATTAATAACATAAATATTAAACTACTTTTTCTGTATGAGTTACATATAAATGTGTAACTTATTTCAATTTGAGATGATTTTTTAATTCACATTTTACTTGATTTGTATGATCAAATAAATAACCAAATTAACAAAATTAATTTTTTTAATTATATTCTGAAGGTAGTATTTGGCATTACTATACATAATAAATATGAAATTAAAGTGATTTTAAATGTATTAAACTAAAAATATTGTTATCTATTCATAAAATCAGTTCAAATATATATTTTTAAAAGAAAATTGAAGTTGATCCTTGGGAAAAGTAAGCACTCGCCTGTAAAATTCGTTAAAAAAAATGAGAGGTTTAATTTTTTTAAATATTGTAAAGACTATCAAAACAAGAAAAAATACCATTTTAATCGATAAACATCTTAAGAAAAGTAAACTTACTAAAACATTGAAAAGCAAAGTATGCATTATTCGGTGAAAAACCAAAGACAATCTCCCTACAAAAAGCTTTTATAATCACTGTAGAACATCAATAAAAACGCAATTATAAAAAAGAATGTTTAATTTAAACAAAATATATAGTACCATCTTAAAAATAAATTATTTTTAGTACTGATTTTTTTAATTTCATATTAAATTTGATATATTTATTAATTAATGTTCTTATCGTTATTGCAGATATTTATTTTAATTTATTTTTTTATAACATAGTAATTATTAATATATATATATATATATTATATTCATTACTTAATTTCAGTAATTAATTATAATATTTAATTTAACAAGTAAATAAATATAGTATTAAACATCTATGTAGGATATAATTCAATTTATTAAGGTTATATATTTATAAATTAAAACAATGTAACAAGAATCGATTTCATCGAAAAGTTTTACTGCACATTTTAAAATTTTTGCACTTATACGTAGGTTGTTTTTCTTCACACTTCAGAAAATAACTGATGACATCCAAAAATGATCTCTCCGAAATAAAATGTTCATAGATACCCGATGATTAATTTTACAATAAGAAATGTGATACAATTCTTAAACATGTAAATACATCTCAAAAAACATGTATGATAGGTGTTAACTGCACACCAATAAATCCAACAATAAAATATTAAAAATAACATTTGAAGATATTTAAATTAGTAACAATATTATAGCTTTAAACATTGCTTTAGAAATTATTTCTGTGTTAAAAATAAATCCTGTATATGTGTATATATATATATATAAACGTTAGAACATTTCATAGCAGAAACATGGCTTACGTAAATTCTATACATCTATACAATCGTAATTTAATTTAAGAAAAAGTTTATTCCTGTATAGAGTGCCTATGATGATTTATCAGAACCATCACTATCTAAACATGCTCGTTGATTCGGATATTAAGCAAATATATACTGAAATATACCATCTTATAAAAATAAGATTTTTTTTCAAGTTACCTATTACATGAAATCATACTTGGTTGATTTACATTAGATTTAATGTCGCACTAATCGAACGTGTACTCAAAATAACAAAATAAATGGACTATATATCTTTTTTTTATTATCCAAGCATCCTGATTTTTCGTTTGCGGAAATCACCTTCACTTCCCATTTTTTGAATTATATAGTAGAGTCGTATGCTTGTGTATCAAGATAACGGTACACGGTTTACTATAATTTACGGATGGTGGCTAAATATATCATAGGTATCATTATTATTATATCCTTGGTCGGATTTTTCATTGTACGAGATTAAATTAGATATTTGTATCCTAAAAAATTGTATGAATTTAATTAGGTATACCCAATAGTTTATGTATGATTGGCATAATCATAGACTTGCAATATTATTTAGAACATATTTTAACTGTCCAGTCTGTTCTTACTCTAAAAAAGAAAAATCCTACATAGATGAATAATAGAGTGATAACCATATTCTTCTTCAAGATGTGATAATTGTCATATTTTTTTGTAGGGTGAAGATCATATCAACTATAAATACTATTTTTAAATATCACTTATTAAATATTGACATTTGACATGATTATGTAGGTCGTAGATGAGTATTGTAACTGTCTGAGTATATTTAAAAAATCCAATAGTCAGAGTTTGAATAAATTTATTATTAAGTGAAAAAATAAGGGTGAGCATGCTTGGTAATTCACCCTGTATATATTAGTGATTTATCTATTACAACAAAGCCGTTTATCATTGCATAAATTATGTACAGAATATTACGTTCGTCGTTCACTAGTATTTTAAAAAAACATTGTAGTAAAATTGCATATACAAAGCGCCGTGTTACTTTAATATTTAAATTAGTTACCTTAACATATTATTTTTATCGTACGCTAATACTTGATTATATACATATTCATATTTATTTAACCAAGCGACTTCTAATTGTTGATATTTATTTTCACAAGAAAGTGAAGCAGTCTAGATTTATCTATTGGCTTAAGTTCCTTTATAGGGCGGAATATGTGTTGTATCTTATGTGTGCAGTACTGAACAAAGGACGGTGGATGTAATACATTTAATTGTTTTTTTTTCTTCAATCTACGCCCTGAGTACGCTCTGAAACCTATTGATCTGCCCTTTTAACTTGTTCTTGTGTTTGACTGTAATGTGACTTTCTGTGTATTATTTTCGTATCTATGCCATTTATTGTGCAATAGTTTCATAATTGGTAAACACAATGCTTACATGAAACATAATACATTTAACCACTTGTTTTATTAATTAGATTTCGAACATATTTCAGTGTATTGTGAATAAATATATAAACTATAGAATTTAAAATGCCAAAAAAGTAAATGAATTAATATTGGCCGATAATAGTATACAATTTTTGCATACAAATAAAATGTTTTAATATATACATAATAGAGCAACAATATTACACATGACAACATTATTGAAAGACGATATGTTTATACTTTTCTGTGTAGGATGTACTCCACCCTCCTGCCGACTGCCGAATTATCAATAAAAAGCATCCGTGTCGTTCGGTGTAGTTAAAAAGTTTAGTGTATCGATACTGTTTTTTTTTTATGACTTTGTTTTAGCGAGCTTTTTAAAACTATATCTTTTGTGAAAACAATTCGCCACGTGGTATTTACATAACCTATAAAATATACTTCAATAACAGTGTATTATAATAAACGTCACAAAGCAGATGGAAGTAAGTGATTCAACTCAATAAACGGGTGTTTTACATATAACACGATGACGTTACGCGTGATGAGTCATCCTGCTGTAGATGCCCCCCGAGAATTCGTGTAAGGTGTACGGTAAAAGGTTGGTTGTGGCTTCGGAAGGAGTGGTTAGCAGAAGACGTTTGGCAAGAACCCACTAATATGCATTTACTGATGACATATTATATACTCTTAATATTAGGGTTCGCACCTCGCAAAGCCATTATCACGGTCTTAATTCGATAGAAATTATCACACTCGCGTTTGATGGTAAATTAAATGCGATCTTACTACACAGTGTGACACATAATATTATATGTGTGTGGATAATATACCATAAGAGGAATAATAACTATTATTATCGCTATTAACTCCACGGTAGTATTTTCGTCACGTCTCTGGTACTCGCCACAGACGCATGCCACATGGTACACGCTATATACACATGCTATACACGTTTTGAAAATCAATAACTAGGTTGATACCAAAGAACGTGAACAATAATTTGCGTCTGGTGTACTTATTGTACACGAAGATAATACTAACATCGTTACCTGTTTGTTTAATTTCAGGAGAAACAGTCAACGGCGGAAAGCGTTGTTTTGAGGCCCCTGGAATTGGCGAGTAGCGGCAAATACCGCTGTGAAGTGTCAGCCGAAGCGCCGTCGTTCCAAACGGTCACTAACCACAGCTCTATGCTAACAGTCGGTAAGTTTCGTTTTGTCATCAACAACACTATAAAATAATCATACGTAGTTCTATGTGTTTCTAATATCCGAAACTCAAAACTAGAGATGCTGTTTAATGTAATACCCATTAATAATGCAAACCGTTCGCAACACTTAAAATTTATTATCTCGGTCGCTTAAACTGCTATTTATTTTTTTAGAAGAAAAAATCGTTAATTTTAACAGATCAACACAAACGCTGAGGATGAAAAAAAAGCAAATAAATTTATGGGTCCGTAAATAAAACAAATTAATTAAAAAAACTAAGGAACCGAATAAAATATTACCTCAAACTGACAATAATGGTTTTACACTTAATTGCGTTATAAAATATAAATAGTTATTGTTTGCTTTGCGATTTTTTGTACCAATACGTGTAAATTAAACGAATCACTTATGTGTGACCCGTAAAATATACACATGAGAAGAGATTTTCGCCGCAGAAATCAATAACTGTTACTAACCATAGCCGAGAACAAAATAATATAAATGCTTAATTAATGTATACCGCTGAATCATGAAATTCACTCAACAACCGCACTCACATTTCACACGTTTCAATGATCAACTTGTATTATAATTTATTAATTACACTATTTTCTAATTTCCAACTGCCGAGATTTAAAGTTAGTTATTTTATGAAATTCAAAGTTTGTAATGGAACATTTTCAAAATGTGTGTAGAGATGGCTTACATAAAAAGGGATACGTTTTACATTAGTTACATTTTAGTTCAACGTCGACGTTGTGACTACGGAATGATAACATGTTACATTATATTATATGTATTGCTAACATAAGAGTAAGTTAATGAGAGTAATATTAAGAACTATTGTCTATAGGCTATAGGCAGATGTCAGAAAGTGACTTAAGCTGTTTTTAACAAAAGTCGAGTTATTCCAAATTCTACCACTACAACTACTTCAGACAGACAGACTATACTTACTTGTGCATAGCTATTATTAAATTCTATTAATTTAAAACGTCTGCTATATATTGTATGCGTTGTCAAATGAATTTCACCCAAGTAGAATTATATAATGATTAAGACGTTGAACCGTACACTAGAAAATGCCTTTGATGATGCGTAATTTTCATAGCAATTGTCCGTGATTCGTTTCGTTAAACGTAAAAACAATACATTTTTAACAGGAGAAAAACATTTATGGTCGCCGATTGTATTTAGGCTATAGGCACTATCTTCCGTCTTCTAATCGTCGTCGTCGTCGTCGTCGTCGTCGTCGTCAGCGAGCTGCATATTATTACACGTTTATTATACAGCAGGATCAGAGAGAAGGACCTAAGAGTATATATTACACGTAAAAGTCTCCGGGTACTCGACCAAATATTTATTCAACCTTAGTGCGTTTTAAACGACCGGGAACAATGCACGTCCACCGTAGTCCTCGGTCCCCGGCGCCTCGTAAAACCCCATATATATATACGAGAATATTGTCGTCGCACGTGCAAATTGGTTTAACTCGGTGGCGCGCCTTTGTCTCGGCGATCCAATTCAATCCGACCCTCTCGAGCGCGCCACTGTCTACCACTCGAACTGAAGGTGGGAGACAAGTATATTACTTATATATAATAATATATGTGTTATATATATGCGTGTGTGTGTGTGTGTGTGTGTGTGTGTGTGTGTGTGCAGTGTGCACCGCTCTCTCGGTATGGATATACACTTATGCGCGTAATCTCGTAGATATAGGTAGACCGAATCGATTCGATTGGTAAATTATATGCGCTAACGGCGGAGGATCATTACGACGTTTACGATTACGTTTCTAAATGTTTATTGCCGGGGACAAAAAAAAAAAAACCATAAATATACGAGTGTGCGAGCACGCGCGTATGTAAGCAAAATTTATCTTTTGCAATGGATTTCACGATGACTCCTTACGTTTTTTTTGTGAAAACAAATCAATACAATATATATATATATATATGACTTGCCGCTTGATGGCATTTCATTAAAATACCTATCGGTAATAATACAGAGTTGGTATCCTACAACAAAACGTCAAAACGTAATGGATGCGCGATACCGTTATTATATTGTGTCATTGAAGTTACGAAATGTCGTGTTATCTTTTATAGCTGGTACATTTTAGGTTCAAAAGTTAAGGTCAGGACAGTCACGTCATACTAGCTCTTGATATTTGATTCGATCGCTTTATAATGTACGTTTTAATGAAACCCACACATGTATTATGTTTCCTATATCGGAGCGCACGATAAATTATGTAAATTTAAGTTATTTCTTGTTCATTTCAATAAAGATTTTAGTACTTAAACGTTTCGGATGAAAAATTGTCGAACATAATAGAATAACATGTTTCATAATATGCTTATACCAGTAAAATAACCAACATCAATGAGATAACTAATTATATACCTAGCGATTTTATCATACATATAGTATTAGAAAATCATATTTAGGTAGTATAGTTAGTGATGTATTTTTTTTTCTCCCCAATCACAACTCCCAAGAAAATATTACCGACAACCTAGGTATGTAAATTATTGAATTTTAGCAAGCGTGGTTTTACGTCTTTTTTGGAGGTGACAGTTTATACGATTTCAAGTTGAAGGAAATTCAAGTACAAATAATCCAGACAGCTATAGGTTACAGAAACCGGATATTAAGAATCCATCTCGCTTCGTTAACCGTCAGCTCTGGATAATTATATGTGTGCAGTACTTACACTTAATTTGAAAGTAGTAATGATTGCATCCAAAATTTAAACTTAAATGTTTTATTTACCAACATTTCACATCATCATTTTACGCCAAACCTAATTCCTATTTGTATGAAATTTAGCACAATAATGTGCATATAATAGTTAATACATATAATAATGTAAAGAGAATTTACTTAATTTAAAATAACCGATATTGAATTATTATTTTTTTTTGAACTCCAGTCCAATATTTCGTTTTTACTTTTTATCTAAGACACTGTTTAATATAAATTTTGTTCACATTATTATAGTGTTATATACTTTTTGTTATATATAAATGTCCAAAAGTTAATGATCCCCGTTTGAAACAAAAAAACTTTTTTTCCCGACTAAAAGTCGAAATTAGGTTGGTCTTCTCACTCTTCTCCGACTTGACAGAGATAATAAATATTTCGTTTACTAGTTCCGGTGGCAGTTAGTTGCGATGCCTCTCATAGACATTTCAAACTTCTATAATGAAATGTTATTTCGCAATATCACTAGACAAGAAAAAAGTTGTAAAACGAGTAAAAGTTTTTCGAATAGGCTGATTAACGATGTCGACGTCGGACACCGAGTTGCGACAATATTTTTTTTCCGCCGGTATGAAACTAGTTTTAAAAAAAAATTAAACCACAAAACTATATACGAGTACAGTCGTACCTATACGTATATACAGTTTACGCGTGGGATTACCTCTGCCGAAAAGTCTCGAATCGCGTATTGATATCGACGTAAACATTTCCACGTGCATTTTATTCGAAACGTCTCCTGTGCAACCGAAACGTATTAAATAACGTTCCTTGGAATTTAATAATAAAGTCCATGTACGATGCGTGTTCTTATTATTGGCCATAACCTATAATATAATATTATAAATATATATATATTAATTTTAAAATCCGGATTGGTATAGTTGCCGATAGCCCTTAAACAGTATGGCTGATATTATGTAAAAACTCGGACGTGGCCTATGGCGTATAATAGTATAATATATTATTGGTGATCACCTTTCACCAACATGTTTACTCCAGATATTTATTGTACGCATTTATATTAACTCTCGGATTTTATAAGAATGTTTATAACACATGTTCATCATCTCAGGATTTTAATGAAATATTATTAATTGCACAACTTATTATTTAGAAAACCGAACATTTTTTTAAGAATATTTTCTTTTTCCATAATCAAAAGTCATTACAAAATATTATATTCACGTCGTTGTTATGTTTTATTATTGTTTAGCTCCGCCCGACGAAGGACCTCGCATATCTGGCGGCCAAGATCGGTACAAGCCGGGTGATACTGTCAACGTTAACTGCACCTCTGGGAGATCGAAACCCGCCGTACAGCTGGCCTGGTACATCAACGGCGAACTGGTAAGCATACAATTATTTCTATAATTAAAAAATATCTTTTGAAATTATTATTGTTATTGTTATTACTTTCTATTGAAGTGAATTTTACTGCAAAAAAAACATGTTTTGTAAAAAAAAAATATATGAAGACTTATTAATATTTCTTAAATAATTTTACTGAAAAATAACTATGTACACCGAATTTCAAAATGTATACAGTATTTTTTTTTTACGACCTTTATTTTGATAGTTTAAAATACATTTCATGTGGAAATTCATTTAAGTAACATACATTTTCTTTTGATGTTTTTAAAGAATACGTATATCCTCTGGCGTTTTCAAAAACCTGAATACTTACTGAACTCTTAGGTGTATGAGAAAAAATCAGCAATCACAACAGTGGTTTTTTTCTTGTTCGATGCTTTCAAACAATATAAAACGACTATTTCACGTTACAGCGTTTTTACTGAACATATTATATTTGTATTCTTAACATCTTTAGACCGTAGACTATTATGTTATCTGTTTTTCATAGAAATATCAAATTAAAAATTTTTTAGATATAATTATTACTACAATGTACCAGGTATTTATTTATCGAAAATGTCTCATTATCTTGAAAATAATTTTTCACAGTTTTTTTCAAAAATGTGTAAATATTTAAAAATACTATCAAAAACTTAAATCTTTAATTGTTTTTGAATTAATGAATGTTAGATAATATTATAATTATCATTATTCAAGCCAGCGATGAAACTGATTTGATTTACAAAAATAATTAGGTGTGGTGAGACTCCGTGGTAATACAGAATAAATCTAGGTAAGATGACACACACGTCTGGGTTATTTTTATACAAATATATCGGTTATGTAATTATGTCGTAGTGAAATATAAATTTTACCATTACGGTTAATGGTATTTACATTATTATGATTACTTAATACAAAAAGATAATAAAAAACTGTTTGACTATTTAAAAAGTGGGTATGGGGTTCAATGCCCTCCTCAGCTCTCCTTAGAACCGTCGGTGGCTTAAGGTTTTGTTTCTTCTTCTATCCCACCACCCACCTCTGGCAATATAGTAGTGCATCCCACTCAACACCTAGATCCACCCTCAATAATCTTATATACGTGTCTGTGTTATATTTTGATATAATAATAATATAATGTCCGTTTTCGTAGGTAAACTCTTCGTATCTGCGGGGCCCGTACACGGATTACGTCGGTCGAGAGGGGCTGATGGTCACCACACTGGGTCTCAAGTTCGAGGCTGGAATGCAGCACTTCCGGTTACAAGGCTCCGGTGGCCACCAGCACCGGAACAGGGTCGATCGGGACATGAAACTAAAATGCGTGGCCACGCTGGGCACGGTGTATTGGAAATCGAAGGAGCAGAGCGCGCTGGCGCACCGGCCGCGGCCGGTCCCTGGACTACCATTGCCGGCTGCCGACGATGGACTGGTAGGAGGCGACGAACAGGACGCCGACTCCAGGGCTGATCCTGTGCACGGTAAGCGCGATGCGGCCACTCGTTCTGCTTAACTCGAGAAAAAGGCTGAACCCGTAAAATTTGTTCAATTTATGAGGAATAGAAATATACATATATTTTATGAAATTTATAAAGATTTTAATTTGTTTGACACGTTATTTTGGTGGATAAGCAATAATTGATGTACTAAAGTGAGAGAATGTTTTTTTTTCCATGTAAAATAAATAGGTAGGTATTTAGTTATATAATTATTAAACTATAGAATTCGAAATATTCAACTCCATGACAGTTCACAGTATTAGTCGTAGGGTACAAGCGTGGTCGGGTGGTAAGTTACGAGCTAGCAGTAACATGGAATTTGTTTGTATAAAGAACATGTGGAGATTTGCACATCGGAGCACCCATATTTTATGAGTAGGGTAGAGATGAAGAGCAAAATGTAGACGCTCGGAGGGGGACCGAACAAAATAATATAGATTATAATACGCAGTATATAATATATCAACCATAAATTGTAGGTAAGTCTTTGGCTTTCAGCTGTCGGGAAATAGTCATTGTGGGTGACCTTACACCATAATATAATAATGCGTTTCTCTATGAAGTCCTTCGCCGTTGTACCTGTACCATGATACAATGCTAGCAAATGTCATTGGTTTCACGAAAATCGCATAATACCTATAATATCACCTACATGTGACCCGATTAAATATTATAACACAATATTGAGTTAGGTATTACGTCTTACATAATTGTGTGTTGTTTTTTTATTTACTATATTTTTTAACTATGTATTATGTTCCCGGTTAAATGTATTGTGCTCGTAGTATTATATTTTATTGGTCAAAATTATTCGTACCTGCATAATTAAAATAGATGGTACCAGCTAATGGCTATTTTCGTATACGATTTTTCAATCCGGTACTAAACATAAAAGTATAATATATTATTCTTTAATAAATTCTTATGTGTACGACATCGAGAATCTAACACTTCATGTCTTCATCTTACCATAGAATATGTTTGATTTTATTAAACTTAAAGATACAGATAATTATGTTACGTTAACAAAACGAATACCTCAAAAACATATAATGTAAAACTGGTTTATTTAATTATTTCAAATTCGTTGAAACTTATAAATTGTAGTTAAACTATATACTTATTGACATACTATAATCTCCTAAAATGTATACTAGAAAAGTTAAGCTGCAACAGAATCAGTTATGCAAATTTGTATAGCTGTTAAAAGCTAGGTATTGAATTACAAAGCTTTATGTTAAATATTCATATTGTGAGATTTTTACTTGATTTTCGGTTTCTAATAGTCAACAAAATTTTAAAAAATTGTTAACTATCCTAGTAAGAATAAATTGTTCCAACAATTATAAAAAAAAAATGTTTTATGTTCATCTTATATTTATTTTAACAATTTTAAATTACTACTGTAGTAGGGATCGTATTTATTTATCTAATATACAATGTAGCTGTATTCACATAATATTGTTATTTATAAAATAACTTTACTTATTTCTAAGTGACTTACTGACTTATTTTTTTTTCATCTTTACTTTGTTTTTGTTTTTATAAATATTATATTCTGATGTTTTAATATTTTACTGGGTCTATATAATTACTATATGGTCTATGATCTGGGATCATCCGCATTTAATCATTTATAATGTATTATTGAATGCACTCTCAATTATGTTTTATTCGATATGTTATTACTTATTTATATTTTGTAAATTTAATTTAAACCATGCACGATATTATTACTATTATTATAATGACGCATAAAACAAATTAATTTAAAAATATAAGTTTTCGTAAAAAATCAATGTCTTTAAATGAATTTAAATGGAATGATAATATATAAAAATAAGGACATCTTATTACATCTTAATTTTCTTATTATTTCTGACATTTTTATTATATTATACAATCTGAATCCTGATGTCTACGGTGTCAGTGGTTTCAGAGGTCATATTGAGGATTTACTTACCCTCAAAAAAATGTAATGATGAAATTTATATTATTATTTTATTTTTATTCGTCGCCACTCACTCAGTGTTAATAGTGATATGTCACGCGAAGTGCTCTTCAAATATTTCAATAACACAATAGTAGTAATAAGTATTTATTTCTGAATTTTTTACCACATAAATTGAATGTGTTGATCCACTCAACCCATTTACACCCGATCGTTGCGTAAAAATATTTTGTAAATTTTGCCTGATGTAGGTAAATATAATATTTATTGAATCGACAGTTTAGCAACATTTTATAACTATACCTATTACAAAATCATTTGATCTAAAATGTCAAGTAATCGAGCAGGTTTATAACACTAAGATTGTATGTAGGTACATGAATATAAATTATAAGTTCATCTGTTATCACTGAAATGATACTAAGATAATACAAATGATGTCTGTATGTATATTTACTAAACTATTTGTCATTTTCACTTCTGGTACATCAATTGAACATTTCAATAAAATTACTGTTTATTATTCTCATAGAATTTATACAACTGTATTTGATTAAAAAATAACACGAAAACCATCGTCTTACATAACTAATATTTATTTGCAACTATTTTTACAGCATCGAGCAACTCGCCTTCCATAAACATTGCTCAATTACTCAACATCAACGAGATCGCAGTCTACGTGTCAGCATCGTTGTTTATTGTACTTCTACGGTAGCAATTGACCGCAGCCTAATCAATGTCGCAGACCTATGTGATAAAGATTCTTCAACAATAATGATATTTAAAAAAATTAGTAAAAAAAGAAGAAAAAATGAACAATTTTAAGTCATAAGTTAACTTTAGTTTTTGAAATGTTAATAAGTACCCAAGACTTTTACTGTGTTTCAAAAATCAGTCTCCAAAGGGGGGGGGGCATGTATATTGTTTTATAATTTAACACCATCCTACATTTTGTTACATTTCGTTGTAATCTATTGTTTACATTGTAAACTTTGAAAAAAAAAATTTCAATCATTGTTAAATAATAATTATTATTTACTATTATATTGTAACATATTTTTTATTGAATTTTTATTTATATAAATTGTTTAGTGTTTGAATATAATATCATGTACATAAGGAAATCATATTATATACCTATGGATAGAGCGTGGTCTGATGTGTATATTGATTCTCGTAAAAAATCGCTGGTTGTATATATATTATAATACATATTTAAGTACATATAATATTGTTATATTATCATGATAAATAATATGCTAGTCACCGCTTGAAAATATGCTAACACCCTGTAGTTAAAAATCTTTAATAATATTATATTATATTGTATCTTTGGAAATATATATCATATTGTATAATTTAGTGTGTTTGTTTTATTATGATGAAACTATGTCGATCATTTTTTTTTAATTTACTCGTCGATAGCAAACAAATCTTCTTTCTTACCGAAAGCCGGAAACAGTGTAAATATTTAATTTTACAATTAAAACCATTGTTTTGCCGGATGGATGAAACCTAATAGTGAATTTTTATTTGTAAGTCCTCTGCGCTCCACGGCCCTGTTTGTATCAACTCCCAAATGAAAAATGAATATTTAATTTCAACTGTACACGCGCCACCTGGTTTTATCGTCGTGCAGATGGAGCTAATAAAATTATATAGTATCAAACATACAGCTGTCATATTTTTGTTTTTTTTGTAACTGCACTCCTATATATACATTTACATTTTTCTAAAACTCATTATTTTACTTTTTCATTTTTATTATTGTTATTGTTAATATTGTACGGGATGTTTGAAATGACGTATTCCATTTGCTATTCTTTTAATTTAATTTTAGAATTCTAATCGTATTCCACATCAAGTAAAATATAACTATGTTATGTGAGTGTATATTAAGTTAATTTAACCAAACGCGTTTACCTAAAACTTAAAGGCTAAATATCAAAAACCGGATTCAATAAATTATTTAAAATAGAAAATAGATGGTAATAATCATTTTATATACATTCTGTGTACAGTTTTTCTCAGTACCAACTTTTTATTTAAAAATGCCAATACAAAAAACTTATGTAACAAACGTTTTCAAAAATTAAGTAGTCATTTTTGCAAGTACATAAAAAAACACTTTTAAATAAATACTATTCGATATAACACAATATATTATTTAACTGCAATATTTCATTTTGCATATAATATGAATAGGGATATAATGTGTTACATATGGACAACAAAAGTGAACCACCGAAATTCATATTAAATATTAAAACCCTATATTTTTAATACTTATAAGTTTTTTTTAAATAATCACCGAATAAAAACATTTATTTCATGACACAAAAAAACCACAATTCCATTTATTATAATATTATGTGGGAATTTAGTATATAAAGTGATACATGATAGCTTTATTCATATTATTTAAACATTGTTTTTCTAGTTTTATTTTTAATAAGTTTCCAGTTTTACTTATACCTATAAGGCTATAAATACGATATAATACAGGAATATTTAATTGAAAAGAAATCTTACTCGTTTTAGCAGGTGAAATCGATATTTGACAAACATTTTAAATGAGTTAAACAAAATACAAAGGTAGCTACTAGAAATTATTGAACACAAGTGCATGTTCAAAATATGTATCCCTTGAGTACAGCATACGGAATATCGGTATTTCCCATCCACCAGTTATTAACATTTAAATTAAATTTGTTGTACACGTTACTTTCTATTAATATTTAATTGCAATAATTTTAGTCGTATAACGATGTTACTAGATAATTTCGGGTATGTGCAACAAAAACGAAAAAAACACCTCTAAGTCAACATATTTCACCACTGTTCTATCAACATATAATGCATAAATATATTATACGTCCATGATTCGATTTTGTTTATTTAAAACGTACCTACGTCCTACACTGAGTTATGTACCTACTAAAAATAGTAAAACGAAACTGTCGATTAGTTTGATATTTATTTGGAAATAATTAATAATATTTCCGGTCGAATAACGACGTGATTGACAACTAAGCGTACAATTGAAACGGTTTAATACCGAAAACTCCCCTGTAATGACGTAATTTGGATACATGTTTTAATTTTGTCAATCGACCTAAAAACCGTTAAGTAATTCCTGTAAGTTTCTAGCTATACAATATACAAATCTACCACTAATACAACTGTTTGATAACTTACGTGGAATGGTAAATTATGTCTGTTGGGTGGTTACATGTATACATAGGCGCAATTTGGGGGGACTAGGTGGGAGGCTTGTCCCCCCTAGTTTAATTTAAGCCCCCCTATTTTTTAAATAATATATTCATTCTTTAATCCATAATCAGACATATATATATATATATAACATAGATTAAATAATTAGTTTTACTCGAGGTTTTACTAGTATATTATGTAATTTATGATAATAAGATTAATATCGATATTTTACAAAATATATAATCAATTGTTATTGTACCTACTGATGTATACTTTTAACCACTATCAGCCACCTCTTGTACGTAAAATTGTAAAACAAAAAGTTATTTTAAAGAATTTGTATAGGTACTTACCTATATTTTATAATCCATATAATCTATGGTCCATTATAGAACTCTATTTTTGAGTGGGTTAATTTTTTAGGACACTGAGATAATTTACAGCAACACTGCAAGTTTCAACCTACCCGTAAATAATTGTATAGACAAGCTAAACTAATTTTAAACACTAATAATTTAATAACATTTTGATTAGTATTTATTATTTTAGATGTCGACGAGTGTATTGGTTTTACAACGATATGTTGTTTTATTTTTGTTACGTATAATAGCAGAAAAATGTTTCCACTTTGAGGGTGGTTTCTATTAGAAAATTTGAGTAGTTGGCACTTAAAAAGGTAAAAAGTTAAAAGAATTCGTAGAAATTCAGTAGTATTGTACTATTGTACCTATGGAATAATATCATATAATACTTTATATTGTTATTGACAAACATTAGTTCAACCTTCCTAATAGAAAAAACAATTACTTATAGCAATATGATAAAATTTGATGAAATATCGTTAGAAATATGGCACTATCCAAACTCGAAATCATTTTTCAACTTACACAATAATTACTATCGTCGAATTCTAATTCATCACCCTCCCACCCTAGCTACGCCATTGCATCAGAACTACTTCCTAAGGTTTTTTAATTATAAATCACTTCAGCTCATTAAAATATTTGACACTTTGTTTCTTGTTGCAAGATAAAAAAAATATGGATTAAATTCTAGGATAGGTCTACACCAAAATATTTTTAATAAATATTTATTTCTATAAAAAAATCACTGGAATATTTCATTATTTTTGCATACACCTGGTTTAATGTCTTATTATTCATTTATATCACCTACCTACATAACAAAATTTTACAGTGACACAAAAACAATTCTTTTCTCTTACCTTGTCCAAAGTTTTTTGTCTGATTAAACGCGATGCAAAGTGGACAAAATAAGATATTTAAATAATTCCATCGATTTACACAATAAGTGTCAGCAATAAGCCCAAAAAATAGTTCGTAATATTATATCACTTTGCCACTATTATTGCAGATTTTTTTATTTTTTTTATTTTTTTATTTGTATAGCTTCCAGTACTAGACTAATACAGCTCGACAATTACGAGTACATAGGACAAACATAGATTTATTTTTACAATAGAAGTTCATTTCTGTAAGAATAATTGTTATAATGTGATAAATAAATTAAATAGTAACCTACTGCTAAAAATATTTCTTGGGTGTAAGCTTTCTTGACGTGGTTAAATCTTAGGTGTCAATGATATAATCTGAACAATACACTTACAACCCTTAATATAAGTATCAGATTAGGACTATACAAGTATTTTTCAACGCCTAACTGAATGGAAAAAAATGAAACCACACAATCGTTTTAAATATACTCTTAAATAAAAATATATTATGACCTTTAAAACCAAAATTGTTCAAATATGCGCTAAATGTAACATAAAATGTTGAGAAATTGTATTTTGTTACTCACATTCACGTAGGTATTTAAAATTAATTTTAATAAACATTGTTATTTATAAACGATTTAGAATTGATAATTTAAGCTACGGAGAATATATTTTATGTGTATATATGTTATGCTTATACAGTTATACCTACATGACTGCATAATATATATTATACCCACATAATAGCCACACAATCATATAAATATATACAATTATACATTTATACATATCATAAATTTACAAGCACAACGAATTCAAAATAGACATAATATATTTATATCGGTATATAGTATCTGAAACTGGTAATTGGTTCCCAAAATAATCAGCTAATAATAATATTTACTAAATAGTATATATTATATAGTACCTGAGAAATGAAAATTACAAATAATTATAGAACATTTTGTTTTCATCGCCTAAAATGCAATAGATATACTAGACTACACGGCAGTATACCCGAGTATATAAGTTTTTTTTATATTAAAGAAGAAATGCTTGTTTTACATAATGTAGTACTTAAATGATTTAAATTAAATTGTACAATCCAGTATCGTAGTTTATTTAGAAATTAGGGAGTATAGGCTAAAAAAAAACTAGAGAAATGAGTATACCCCCCCCCCCCAAGGCCCCAATACACTACTGCTTAAAATAAACCTATACATTTATAATAGATACTAATGAGAATAGCCATTCTAGAATGTTACATATTGTATGTATTTATAAATTGTATGCATCAATATAATGTGGCAGCAGAGGAGTAGTATTGTTCAAACAGAGCCTCTTCTGCTGTAGGTTAAACAGAGGAAAACGTTATCTCCCCCTCCCTGCCACCCCAATTCAAGTGCTGAGAACTGGTCAACAGTTTGACTCAATTAAATGTCACGCATGAAGTCATTATACTTACCATGTCAGGTTTAATTTATTGTCACTCATAGCCTAACGCTGTTAATGTAACAGTAACATTATAAAGTTCGATCTATTAACCTGCGGTGTTGTTTACTTTATCTGTTGATTTCATGCTACATTGTAGATTGGTTATGGCCTCTTCTTTATATATATACAAATGATAAATTCATCGTCACACAAACATCACATATTTTAAATGTTAATATACCTAACCATTAACCACCGCAGGCAAAGAACAATATGGTAATAATAACACGAGTATACGACTTTATATTTTTCATTTTTACTGCCCTTGTAAATTATTTCTAAGTTTACATAGGACATAGGTATACTAATTTGATAAACGTACCTAAACGTCAAACAAATTAAATCTTAATTTTCTTGAACAAATTGTTTTTAAATTGTTGTTATCATATTAAAATTTTTAAAACCAA